TGTTGGAGAAGACTCTTGAGAGTCCCTTGGACTGCAAGGAGATCCAACCAGTCCATCCTAAAGGAGATCAGTCCTGGGTGTTCATTGGAAGGACTGATGCTAAAGCTGAAACACCAATACTGTGGCCACTTCATGCGAAGGGTTAACTCACTGGAAAAGACCCTGATGCTAGGGGGGCTTGGGGGCAGGAGGAGAAGGGGATGACAGAGGAGGAGATGGTTTGATGGCATCACCGACTCGATGGACATGAGTTTGAGTAAACTCCGGGAGGCGGTGATGGACAAGGAGGCCTGGAGTGCTGTGATTCATGGGGTCGTAAAGAGTCAGACACGACTGAGCAACTGAACTGAACTGAACCTTCTAGATAGCTCGGCCTCTCCCTCTCCAGGACCACCAGGAGTCAGTTCCCTTAGGACTTCCCACCTGCACCTAAGGCAGATACGTAAGCCATTCCTTAAATGCCAGCCCCCTGATAAACTGCAAGTGTCCTGCATCCATACTATGTTCTTCTGTGGTCCAAGACCCTTGAATGCCAAGATGAATTGATTACCCCTAATTCTGTAGGTCCTAGGGAGGTAGCATATGTTTCCCAAGTGGAGACTGACATTATCTGAATAGATGTCAGTGACCTGTTTCAAACCAAAAGAAAGGAAGAAATTTGAGTATTAAAGGGAGAATGAGAAGGCTCTACATGGGGCTGACTTTTTTTTTTTCTTTTTTTCTTGTGCATGTGACAAAACCTGCCCTAAGATCCAATGATGGGACAATAGATTGTTTTCCTGAACCAAAGGGCCAAGGAGAAAAATAGTAAATAGATTACAAAATGGACACCTTCCCCCCTGCCCCCGGGGCCTGAGCCCTAGAAGCACTCACTGGTCCAGAAGGCCAGACAACTCATTCTCCTCTCTGAGCCCTGGGGCTGCTCCTGGTCTCTGTTTGCTGCCCAGCTCCATGGATCTCTTTGGATGGGGGATAAGGTAAGCAAAGCTAGTGTCAGATCAGGCATGATGGAGAGTGTATATCCCTTCTTGAGACACTTTATCATTCAGACTGAGTGTTTTATGGCCCTGCATAGAGGTTGCCATAAAACACCATTTTAAGGAGCTTGAGGCCGTATTTCATCCATTAACGTCCTCTTGCCCCAAGAGGCAAAACAAACTAGCAGGTGGCTCAGGATTAACATCTTTATTACAGATGACCTCACTATTGTGTTCTCTATAAAGAAAAAATATTACAAAGCATTAACGCACTTTAACTATTAAATTAATACAGATTTACGGCTCATATCCGGATCTAAATTTCTAGGCTTGCAGGGTCATTATTTTTCTCTGATTTTTTTTTGACAATATTGCTAATGGGAACCAGAACAAAATTGATATGAACTGTGATGGTGGATGCATGAATTCATGGAGGCAGCAGGTTATGTCTCTTTATAAATCACTCCTGTGGCAGTTTTGCACTAGAACTTACACAAGTATTTTCAATATTTGAGCAATAGCCACAGAAGGACATTTAGCTGAGAGGGTGCAAGTATTAAGATTCCAATATTTACTTTGTTCTGACAAATGGCAAAACATGAAGACTATGCTTTAATTACTTGGAGAGGCTTTGGCACATGACTCCTCCTGCCCCCACTGCATTTCTAATGCTTAAAGTAGCCATTACTTATTTTATCTCGATGGGTTGCTACTGAATGTTTATGTTCATATATGCTTAGATTGAAGTTGTCTTTACTTCTACTCCTTTCTGGAGTTCTGAGTCATAGTATATACCGGTCACCAATTAAATAGGAAGCAAATTATCAGTTATATTGTTAATGACCAGCAAGCACCCAAAGCCCCAGAGTCTGGTGAAAATGGATTATAGAACAAGGCTTAATACTGAACATAGTTTTCCTCCTGCCTTCCAAATTAAAAACTTGGGAATCCCTCAGTCATTCACACCTTAAAGTGTGAAAGATAGAAATGACATCTATGCCAGTCTATTGATCATGTCACAGAGGTGAAAAGGCATTAAGAAGTTCAAAAGAAAGTTGAAAGTTAACAGGAGCTTGCATGAACTCTGATATTATATATTTTCCTTGAACACAAACCCCTCCCCTGTATATTTTCTACATTCAGATTAGCCACTTCTTTGCAGGGAGATGCAAGGTATAGAGAGGCAGTTATGGTCCCATCAGTATCCTGGGTAGGAGGTTAGGGGGTGGAAAGAAGAGGGTCCTTGAAAGAAAGTCTGGGTTCTCCATGGCCTTAGAGGAAAAACCCTAGGAAAAGATAAAACACAGAGACTCATTTCAGAGGATCTGCTGTACAATTTACCACCATCCAGTCCAAGTTTCACATATCATTTAGGGTACGACAATATCTTGACACGTGGGCTTTGAAAATGGGTAAACTATGACTTGGCTCAGTAACTTCCTCCCTGGAAGTCCTTGTAAGAAATATGCAAACGTGAAACAATGAGAAAGCATCTTGAGAGTCAAAAGCTTGTTTTAGCCAAGGGTCATGTGGGATCTGGTTCCCCAACCAACGGCCCCAAATTCTAATGCTGACCTCTAGCCTCCTAGGCTGAACTAGGAGGAGGAATCTTTGGGATAATCTCAGCCTCTCCTACCCACCCTCACCCCTTCCTGGCTATTAAGAGAAAAGGGTAGATCCATACAAACCACAATAAGAGCAGAGAGTGTACGTCCTAGAGGTGAGTATGAGAAGGTCCTCCAGGTCCCTCTGTAAATCATGGAAGTCCTTTCAAAATTGCCACTCCTGGAAAACCACAAAGGTCACTTTAAAATCAGGATGTGAGATGAAGACAGTGTTTGTTTAGCTAAGAACTGACTTCTAGAAAAGAAACAAAATGTGAGATGTTCCCAACCCAAAACTACCACTGGTAACAGCTGCCATCTAAGGAGTCTAAATCTTTAAGCATGCAGCTCTCCTTCCTCCCGTATCAAGGTTGAAAATCTCTCTCTTCTCGTTTCCACACCATCATGAGGTCTAGAAACCATTCAGAAGAGAGAGCTCCAGAAAACACTCAAGCCCATCCCAAAAAAACTCAAGTCTCAGCAGAAGAGGTTGACAAATACATGTCCCCAATATATTCTTTTTTTTTTAATAAGCAATTTTTTTTTCTTAGTTGGAGGCTAATTACTTTACAATATTGTAATGGTTTTTGTCATACATTGACATGAATCAGCCATGGATTTGTTCTAATAGCTTTAGTATTTGGAAGCCAACTGAAAAAGAAATGATCACAAATATCTCAATGAGAGATAATAAAGTAATGTGAAAACCATTGGCTGGTGTTTCTTGACATCTCCCAGGAACATAATCCCAAGAAACATTAACTCTTCCCTTCTCCTTCCAAAATATGAACATTCATGGGCATACAGTCAGTGTGCACATGCATGTGCATGCTGTGTGTGTGAGCATACACAGCACTCTGCACTCTGGGCATGCACTGGTAATCAGATGCATGCCTGTTGGTGTGCTTGCATGTACACCTCATGAATAGTCAGGCACCTGTATGTGTAACTTGTCCATCAGTGATCAATGGCTGCACATGTGTGCAGGTATTTTCTGCATATTCTGCACACTATTTTGCAAGCATACACACCCAGGTGTGTCCTACATGACCAGGAAAGAATGTCACGTGCATGCACAGGTGCATGTGTAAGTTCTGTGTCTGTGTGTCTGCGCGAGTCTGGATTCTTAAATCCAACCACGCACCAGGCTGTTTGCAGCCAATGTTGAGCCGCTAATGATTTTAATGAGAGTGCCTTCTGGATTCATATTTTTTTCATAAAATACATCACACTAAAAACCAAATCAATGAGAAACATTAATTAGGGCCTTTGTAGATGCCTTCTGTGGTGGTGTTTTTCTTTTGAGAAGCACCAGACGAAGAATGCTGGGCTTTATTTAAGCTAAGTTGTTTGACATTTAGATGAGAGAAAAAAGAGGAAGAAACTAGCCAGCCCAGGAACCGTTTTTGACAGCTCTTTGTCATGCAAGGGAGAAAAAAGGCGCCGGCTGTGAGAGTCTACTTTGAAGCCCTGGAAATTTGTAATGAAAAATTTAAGATACAAGAGAGGCAGAAAGATGAGCTATTCACGGGGCTCTGCATATATTAACACTTGTAATGCAAACTAAAGGTTTGCTATGTGTTTTTATAATTTGGCCGCTAATAAATATCTTCCAGAAGTGCTTTGATTTTCTAAGCTCGGGTATGGAGTTCGAATCCATTAAAAAGTAAAAGAAACAATTGGCATTGGACTTGGGTCCCTGATTAGGGGACCGTGCACATCAATTATTACAGACAGACCACTGACAGATTTCAAAGGATGCTGGAAGCCCTTGTGTGCTCAGAGGAAGCCATGCATCTGAGGACATGTCTTCCACTGCAACTGTCTCCCATGCTGACCTCCAGGTCAACTCTTCCTGGGCCGCTGAGCCTCTCCTCTGCCCACCTGGGCATGATTACTAAGGATTCTTCCTCCAGGGGCAGGCAGATGCTAGGGATCCACTGAGGAAGTTCTCTAAATGCAACATCTTCATTGCTGAAAGGGCAGAGTTTCTGTGATGTCAAAGCAACTTTTACAAATTTGGGATACGGAAGCAAATCAGTTCTATCCATGTATTATTTCCCCATGGGCCAGGGTCATGTTCATTTTACCCAGTGCATTTGATTACATTCAATGGCATCTTTGCTTCCTCTTTTCTCTCTAGATCTTCCAATGATTTTCTTGCCCCTAGTTCTTTTTTCTTTAGTCTGGAACTTCTATTTCCTGGTTAACAAAAACTAGACATCTTCATACATTCTTCAAAATTCTTTTCTCTTTGCCTCATGATTGGGCAGGCTAAGTCAGTGGACGGAATGTGGGCTTGGCAGTCAGATGATTGCCTCAAATGAACATTCAAGGAAGTTCCAACCTTGAATGAACATGACGAGAGGGAGATGGTACATGGAGGCCAAGGAGTGTGGGGGGAGCAGGCTAGCAGCTTGCAGCCTGGGCTTGGGGCTCTGGCCCCCACATCAAAGCAGCTCTGGGTAGCATTGACATTCAGTGGCCAGGGCCTTCATCTTTCAGGTCTAACAATGCCATTTCCTTGGACTCCTGCTCTGGCTATACTGATTGCTCAGACTCCCAGAGAACAGAGCACAGGCATACCTCATTTTATTGTGCTTTGCTTTGTTATACTTTGAAGCTGTTCGCATTTTTTAAATATAAAGGTTTGTGGCAACCCTGCATTATCAGATGATGGGTTATCATTTTTATCAATGAAGTATTTTTTAATTAAGGTACATTCGTTTTTGAGACAAAATACTATTGCACTCTTAATAGACTACAGTATAGTGTACACATAACTTTTATATGCACTGGGAAGCCGAAATATTTGTGACTCACTTTATTGTGATATTTGCTTTACTGCACTGGTCTGGAACCTAACCCACAGTATTTCCGAGGCATGCCTACAGAGTGGAAGGAGAGAGAGTGGACTGAGGGGCAGTGGGAAATATCCAGCACAGGTGAAAGGTGTCCAAGAGATAGTTTCTGGGCTGCTGCCTTGACAGAGATATATAGTCAAGGAAATGAGGAGAATAATTACCGGCAAGGCCTAGAGCTTCAAAGGGCACAGCTAAAACACTAGCCAAAAGCGAGTGGTGAAAAGTGACCCAGCCAAGTTCTTAATGCCTGAGAATGACAGTCTGCTGGCTGCAAAGCTCACATTCAAAGGGGTTAGGTTTATTACAAGAAGGCTAGGAGAAAGGAAATCACATCCAAACCAAACTCCTTTTGAATGTGAATATGATGGTTCAGGCTTTAGGATTCCCTTATCTGCCCTAAAACGTTCCTATGGTCCACCATGTATGGGAAGAGTTCAAAACTCAAGTTGTACATCTTAAATCTATATAATTTTTATTTGTCGATCATACCTCAATTCAGTTGGGGGAAAGAGAATTCCTAAGAGTCACTGTCAAAGCAAAGTGCTTACATTCTTTCTTTCCCTTCAGCAGAGGAGTGAATCCTTCCCACAAAGTGTGTACAGTTGAAGCAGAGCCCCAGCACCTGCCCCCCTCTCGTGCATTTCTCAGGGTGCCTGGTCAGCGGGGGCAAAGACCCAGAACTCGGGGTTTTCATGTTTCTTGCCCCTCAGTCTGGACAGCCACCTGAGTCCTTCATTAGGGAAAGCCCCTGGGCATCTCTCCAGCAGCAGGCACTAAAATCCCGGCTGATTTCAGCTGGGAGGATGACGGACAAGGATGTACCTCTCTGCAGTTACAGAATTTAGCTCTTCAGACACACATCCAGTTCTATGGCACCACGCCACTGGGCTTTCTGAGCATGACAAACTTCCCTTGGTTCTGACTCCTACAAAAACCTGGACAACAGTCTACACCCAGTTCCTATGGCATCTGCCAATGGTCCACTCTCCTAGAGCATGTTCCAACCGTCTCCCTAAGGAACCTCTCCCAGGCCCTCTTTTCCTGTGCAGGAGGCTAGGACCAACCACAAATTGCCTCCACGAAGTCTGTGAGTGTGTTTGGAATCTCAGATTAAAAGCATTCGTTGTATTTCTACCTGGACGTTGGTATCATGAGGGTCACAGAGGGACCTTAAAAATAATGTGTTACCTCAAAAGGATTATAGTCCAGCAGGAAACGTTTAAAACAAAAGTTTACATGTTTGTGCAGCAGAAAAGAACCTCAGAAGAGAGACCTCCCTTGCTGGTATGGATAGAGAGGTAAAGGAGGTTGATGCTGGCAGGTAAGGAAGGGGTGGAGAAGGGGATACTTAAGCCACACCTTGCCTATGAGCAGACTCTCACCAGTTGGGATTGCTGCATCTTTTAAGTCATAACCCATGTGTAAGACTTTCCCCACTCCCTTCCTGTTGCCTCTTCTACTTGTGATCTCTGGAAAACATTTTGGGAAAGAGATGTTCTAAAGATGTTGGTTAAACAGCTCTGTCTCTGGTTCTCCATTTGAAGCCGACTTCTTAATTAAGGCACTGCTGCCTGCCTGGACATAAATGCATTTATGTATATTAATTTTTGCTCCACTTAGCAGAGTGGTCACTTAATTAAATGTCTTCAGTTGTTTTATTGGAAAAAACATAACCCATCCTCCCCCCCAAGGCATTTGTCCTTCCCACTTAGCTCCTCTGTTGTGCTGTGAATTTAAACATACTATTTGTTGCTTCCCATTCAGTTCATTTGTAATCCTGATGCCACTGCATTTGTAGGAACTGATATTAAAAAGTAATATCCGAGACTAAAGTCGCTAGACTGTTTAGTAGATTTTTAAATTGAAACCAAAATTATACAGATTTTTCATTCTGATAATTCCACCAATTCACTAATTCTTTAATCTTTACAGGTCATTGAACAGTTCCACATTAATGAGATGTAGTTAAGAACAAATTTTACACTTTTTCCTTTTTTTTTTCTTGAAAAATGTTTCCTATCATTTGTAAATTAGAAAGAACTTGTTCCATTTATGGTCCATTTATTTAAAATAATCGAATGCATGGGATCTGGCTGAACACTGTGTGTAATGATGCTTTTAAACAAATTACCATTTATTTATAAGCAAGAAATAGACTTTTAAAAAGCACCCAGACTTGGTTACATTATTAATGATGTTCTCCAAGCCCAATAGCTCTAGAGTGTGTGTGTGTGTGTTATGTATGTGTGCATATGCACACACACACATAGATGTGGATTTTATTACAGTGAGAAGGTTGAGAATTTGGGAGTAAAACTGAAAAAAAAAAACCAGAAAGCTTCTAGAAAAGCAGTATATTTTTTCTTTTTCAGAAAGTTGCAAATGTTAATGAAATTCACCCATGATGAGCCAACACTCCCAAAATCTTCACTGTAAATGTGTGGCTCTCACCACAAGCACCCAACGTGAAAATCAACCCTACCCTCGTTGTGCAGTGTGCCACGGATATGGAACAAACAGAAAAAGTCCTTCATCCCATGTATGCAAAGCCCATCTCTTCTGCCAGTGGCCCAGGAGTTCCTAGAGAATAATTGCATTTTTATAAAATGCTGTGGAGTTAATTGCTTGGATTCAAGTATTGTAAACTACCATTATTCCTCGCCATACACTACTGCAGGGAGGAAAGTGTTTATCCTGTTAAGTGGTAGTTAAAGAGCTTGCATTGTAAAGAACCAGGGGAGATGGCTGACTATGCTAAGAATTAATCGGGTGAGATTATTCTGGCTTCATCAGCTTTGGTTCTATCCATTTATAAGACTATCTTCATTCCCTTTCTCCTATCTTTCTTCTTCTATGCAGACCAAATAAAGAATAAATAAATAATAAGTAGTGCCTGGGACTTCCAATATTTAATCCTAGCCCCAGTCCTGCAACTGCTAACAAGTATGTAATCCCCAGAGAGCATTTGGCAGCTCCAGCAAAGTCAACCGAAATAGCCCTGTTCACCAATATTTTTTATTTGAGAAGGGAGTCTACAGGCCTAGAACGAGTAAAGGGGGGGTGGGAAATATATATATATATATATGTATATATATATATACACACACACATATATATGCATGTGTATGTATATGGAAGGAGAAATAAGGGAAGAAAGTGGAAGAAAAAATATGAATCTAAGATACCAGAGATATCAAAGCTGCTAAGCAGAGAGTAAGATATTACAAGTTTTCAAGACTGAAAGAATAAGTGGGTAAGACTACTTCATGCCAGTGATTTTTTGAAAAAAAATCATTAAAAAAATTTCATGAAAGGAAAGGTGCTTAAAGACAAAATGAATACATATAATGATAACTCTTACACTGCTAGCACCAAGAACAGTGTCTGACATACAATGGACACTCAATAAATAATTGTTGAATGAACGGTTTTCCAAAAAGTTAGAGGTAGATCTAGAATCTAAAAGCAAGTTACTTCAACTACTAGCAAAACAATAATTATTAAGTTGGTAGTTTTGAAAGCCTAGAAAATAAGTAATGATGTGAGTGAACGTCACTCAGTTTTGTCTGACTCTTTGTGATCCCGCGGACTAAAGAGTCCATGGAATTCTCTAGGCCAGAATACTGGAGTGGGTAGCTGTTGCATTCTCTAGGGGATCTTCCCAACCCACATATCGAAACCAGGTCTCCCACAATGCAGGCAGATTCTTTCCCTCTGAGCCACAAGGGAAGCCCAAGAATATTGGAGTGGGTAGCCTAACACTTCTCCAGGAGATCTTCCCAACCCAGGAATCGAACCAGGGGTCTCCTACACTGCAGGCAGATTCTTTACCAACTGAGCTATCAGGATGGTCAGATCCCACTAGGACAAATCTTTCCAAATAAATCTAGTGGCCGTTTTTTCACTGAGTTATCTGTAGACCAATTATATATTGTTTTCAGTTAAGTGGTTGACAAACTATATTGTGATATGTCTGCAATCGGGAAAATATGGGAATTTGCTGAACATCTATACTAAAGGTGAAAAATTATAATTAATAGATAAAAAATGTCTAGTGCAATCCTATAGGTCCACTGACTATTTGTTGTACCAATAATTAAAGATAATAGAAGAGAGTATTTATGGTTGGTGTCATGATAAAAAAAATTCTGGAATTTATGATGATATTTAGTAAGAGGGTTCTGTCCTCAGCCCTAATGTATTTCATCTTTTTCTCAGAATCTTATATAGATGTGTCTAACATGCCAATAAAAATTCGTAGATGACAAAAACTTGGGAGAACAGTCAGATAGCTGAATAAACATAGGCAATTATCAATCTGACAATGATAAATATAATTTTTTAATAGGTTCAAAAATTCAGCTCCTCATAGATACACATGGAGAATACCTAGCCAAAGAGCCATAGTCACTGAAGATAAAAAGATAAACTTAAGCTGTTTTAATTTGTTACAAGATTGATGTGCAAAAAGGATAAGATGGGATCATCAAATAACCCAAGTTGTTGGAATTTGTATCGATAGAGACTACCACTGGGAGGTGGCAGTTGACAGAAGAAAACAACCATCTGAGTTAGACTAAGTAAAATAACCTAGTCTAAGTTTCAGAAGGAAAACTCTCTCTTCAGTATTTCTTTATTTGAACTGTTTAAGGTGCAGGTTAAACTGGGAAGAATTAGCATCATTTCCTATTAAATTTTTCCATTCAGAAACATGGCTATTGTTCCATTTCCATTTATTCCAGATTTCTTTTGTGTTCCTCAGTAAAATTTTATAGGTTTATTCAGATATAAGCCCAGCAAAATTACTCTTGATAATATTATTTCTAGTATTTTAAAGTTTTTCTTGCTCTTACAAATGGTATCTCTCATACTACAATTTTTTCTGGTGTGCATAAAACCCATTTTAAAATATTATTTTATAAATTAAATTTTATTGTACCTTTGTATTAGAGTAATGGTTTCAGCTGGTTCACTTGGATTTTTCCAAAAATCTTTATGTCTATTCTTTGATAATATTTATACCTTTTTCTTTTTCTTATCGCATCAGCTAGAAATTTTCAAACTATGTGAAATAAGAGTTATGACAACGTGCATTATTTTAGTACCCCTTACCTTTGGGGATGGCCTTCCCAGGTGGCTCAGGGTAAAGAATCCAAATCTGTCTGCCAATGCAGGAGACACAGATTTGATCCCTGGGTCAGGAAGATCCCCTGGGGTAGGAAATGGCAACCCATTCCAGTATTCTTGGGTGGAAAATTCCACGGACAAAGAAGCCTGGAAGGCTGGAGTCCATGAGGTCGCAAAGAGTCAGACACAATCGAGCACACATATACATCTACTGGGATAGCTGCATCATTTCTCAAGCAAAGAAACAGGGGCATTAGGGGGCTGGGTAATAAACTCTTGGTACAGAGGGTATGGAAGTAGAGCTATCATACTCACCTCCCTGTGAGATTTTGATAGGCTGTAGTTGAAGTGCTGTCAGTTGCAATTTAGAATCACTGCATAGTGATGTACCATCAGCAACATTTGTTGTATCATTCAAGTACATCTGAGTGCAAAAATGTTGAGAAAATGAAAAACTTGTGTTATACTTCACTACGTGTTTGATGCTTGCTCTTTATTTACAGTATTCTATAGGACTGCATCATATACCTACATTACTAACATGAGTTTTTGTTTTTTCAGTCTGAAATATCAATAGATATCAACTTTATGAAATGTGTTTGGGAAATCTGATATGATTACATGATGCATTTTCAAATGCCTAAAGAATAGGATCTTACATTAAGCTAGTGGTAACATTTTCACTACACTGTTGCTCACAATTTGCCAACATTTTGTCTAAGAGTTTTGCAGCTCTATTTGTCTTTATACCCTTAGCACTTCATGTACCATATGCTTTAGTCAAACTGATGTATATACTTGCAATGTGCTTTCCAAATTCTGTGCCTTGAATTTATTTACTTTCCTTTATTTACTTCAGTCTTCATTTCCATGTGTTCAAACCCAAACCAAACACCACATCTTCCATGAAAGCCTCCCTGAAAACTTCAATTACATAATTCTTTCCCCTTCTACACTTACTTTAACTTGTTTCTGCACCTTCATAATGACACTTATTTCTGTGTGCATCACTGTCGATTTAGCTTATCCCTTCTCCTAGACTGTGAACTTCCTGGAGGATCTACGTCTGACTCATTTGCATCTTCTTTACAACATTTTACGATGGTGCTGAGTAGGTACAATGAGATAACATACCAGCTCCACCTCTTTCTAGCTACATGACCTGTATAAGCTACTTAATTTTTTTAACCCCCATTTCTTCTACAGTGTGGAATATCAATAGAGAGCACTTGGAATAATTCTTAGCATAGCTTTAGTCTCCGATATCTTTTATTTATCATAACCTATTAGAAATAAGCTTAACTCTACATAGAAAACCCTAAAGACTCTACCAGAAAATTACTGGAGCTAATCAATGAATATAGTAATGTTGCAGAATATAAAATTAACACACAGAAATCCCTTGCATTCCTATACACTAACAATGAGAAAACAGAAAGAGAAATTAAGGAAACAATACCATTCACCATCGCAACAAAAAGAATAAAATACTTAGGAGTATATCTACCTGAAGAAACAAAAGAGCTATATATAGAAAACTATAAAACACTGATGAAAGAAATCAAAGAGGACACAAATAGATGGAGAAATATACTGTGTTCGTGGATTGGAGGAATCAATATTGTGAAAATGACTATACTACCCAAAGCAATCTATAGATTCAATGCAATCCCTATCAAACTACCAACGGTAATTTTCACAGAACTAGAACAAATAATTTCACAATTTGTTTGGAAATACAAAAACCTCAAATAGCCAAAGCAATCTTGAGAAAGAAGAACAGAACTGGAGGAATGAACCTGCCTGACTTCAGGTTCTACTA